CCAGCCCACGTCCTCCTTCTGCTACCTGGGCCAGGCTGGCTATCGTGAGGACAAAGCCCCGTCTAGTATCCTCGGCCTCCAGCCGGCCACATCCCTCTTGCTCACGTCCTACTTTTGCGAGGCCAGGTCCCCCCCCTCCCCCGCCAACCACCCAGCAAATGTCTATATGTGTTTCAAGCCCTAGCTCCCATCCCTGCTTCCTCAGTGAGGCCTGTACCCATTCTCCAAGCAGAAATACCCCCTCCTCGGCTGGCTTGCTTGGCCTCTTTCGTGACTGTGCTGTCAAAAGTCTGTCTTCCTGGCGGGCTTTTTGGGCTTTGCCTCCTCTCTTTCCAATGTGACAGGGGACAGGATATCCTGGGTGCTCAATTATTCTATGCAGAATAATGAAAGGAGCTGTAGAGGTAGCCTGGTGGGTAGCCATGGCCACCGTGGACTGGGAAGCCAAGAAGAACCCCCCCCCCCCCATACCTCTGCATCTCTCTCTGCAAACATGGGAGCCTCCTGCCAGCACTGGCCCACACTACCCCATACCTCTGCGCCCTAGTGCCCCAGTTTCTTCTCCCCCCTCACACCTCCATAGGTAATGGAGACAAACGCAAGTCAACAAAACATAGTACAATCTAAAGCCCCTGGCAAGGCGAACCCCCACCCCGGGATTCTGTGCCCTTAAAGGAAGGAAGCAGTCTGAAGTGCCCCGAGGAATATACAGTCCAGGCCTTGGGACAGGGTTCTTTTTCTTCAGGTCCCTGTTAGGGTGAGGGTGACCCCATGTGATTTGGCTGCGAATTATTCCCTAAAGATGAAGAGTTAAAGTCTTCGTGCCCAACTGGTGGATCCAGTCATTGAGAGGTGACGGCACTGTCACCTCCCCAGCAGATTAATCCGTTGCTGGAGCCACAATTTGGTGGCATTTAGGAAGTGGTGGGGTCTTGCTCAAAGTGGTTCATTGGGAGAATATTGCTGAAGGACTTTGTCTGTTGTCATGCGTCCTGGCCATTAAGGAGTAAGTAGTTAACTCTGTCTCACATGCTAAGCAATGGATTCAGCCCCCACATAGGATAAAACAATTGAAACTACGAGCCAAAATAATCCTTCCTCCCTCGTCTGGTCAAGTATTCGTCACAGTGACGGAACATCTCCCACACTACGCCAGGGTCCTTCTCTCCAAGACAAGAGGTTCTCAGGACTCCACCCCAAGGGGTGTCAAAGAAGGACACAGCGGCCTGCGCGAGACGTTTTGAGGAGCCCCCACCCTGGCCTCTTAGCAGAGGGGCGGTCTGAGAAAGCGCGGTGCGGACTATGTGCTATCTAGTGTGAAATCCAGGCTGCTCGTGTTTCTAACACATTTCCTTGGAACTGTCAGCAGTGATGGTCCGTGAGGCACCCCACAAGGAGCACACTCCCGCCACTGAAGAGCGAACTTCACGCTAACGCTGAAATTTCCAGCCAGGGGAGGGGCTGGGCCCTCCCTTCTGTAACATGGTGAGTATGGAGGACCAAGTGGTGAGACAGAGACAGCACCTGTGAAGATCGGACCGCCTCTACAGACGCTGTCACCTCTCCCTTCCTGAGCATCCAGTTTCCCTCTGCAGCTCACCCCGATTTTGGAGCCGAGTTTCGAGTTCTCATTTTCTGTCAATAATCTCTATCATATCTGCTCTGTTCTTATGGTCCCGTTCTTACTCCCCATCAAGAAACAGTCTCAGTGAATCCCTATTACAAATCACCAGCGGCCCGGATGGAGCCTTCTGTCCGAGCCCATAGGTCTTTCCCTGTCTGGGAGCTGTTGGGGATACCTGCCCACTGCTGGTCCTGTCAGAGAAGCACAGAGGCCAGATTCAGCTTTTGCTCAGGGATTCCTGTGAGGCAAAAAGTGGTGCCGTGTCCTTGATATAGAGTTTGGGGACGGGTTCTACTTGTCTCACAGAGTCTGGTGCTACCGGGGCACAGCGCAGGGGAGGTTACAGCACTCTGGTGCAGAAGCCTGACATTGATTCCCGGTTTGGCCAAAGGAACGGGGCTGGAACCTGGTCAGCAAGCACATCTGCATCTAGGAGCTGGTCTGGTTCAAATATATCTCTCTGTCTGTTGGGGGTGCCTGACCTTGAGGCATCCTGGATCTATTACCTGGAAGCCTTGCTCTCCCAGCTCACAAGTCTACTTCCTTTCCCTGTATGATCTATGGGAGCATCTGATAGGTCAGATTCAAAGATATCTACTATCTTTTACTTCAGTTTTGAAAGGGGGAAAAAAAAGACATGTTTCAGGAATAAGAAGTCACAGTCTTGGGGCCTGGAGGTTAAAAAATCATCAAAAGGTCCCCTTGGTTTTGTCTGCTTTGCTACATTAACCATGGCATTTGCTCCTGCACAACCTTGGGGCCTATGCACAGAGTATGGTAAACCCAAACCCCCTGGCCAAAGATCCAACTAGGAAGTTTGGCTGAGGTGGCTTTGTTGGCTCCTGGCCTCGGGGGAAACGGATGCCTCCTATCTCCATAGCAGTCCTGTGGGCTCAGGGGTCGGTACTGGAAGTATTAGTGGCCTCAAGAGTCTTGTGTAGAATCACGGATGCTCCAGGTTGTCATTACATTCTGTCAGAGGTTAGACATGGACCCATTTGAGAAGGCACAAAAAGAAATAAAAGGCTGAGGCAGGAGGGGTTAAGGGAGAGTCCTTCTTAGTAAATATACACAGCATGTAGCTATCCCTGGTTGCTCAAAAAAATTAAAATTAAAACAATGGATGCCCAGGGGCCTTGACCTCCAACACAACCTCCTCAGGCCTGAGCCTAGGTGAGTCTCCATGTTCTTAAGGAACTCTTAAGAACAGTGTGGGGGACCCTCTGTGGTAAACAGCTAAGGTTTTAAGCCCAAGGGAATCTGTGGGCTGTGGGTGTGTGGGAGGACTCAATCCAGATCCCCAAGCCACATGTATGCTCAGTGCTACCGTGGCTCTAAGTTTTCAAAGGGAGGGTGGCTGACCCAGTGTGTCAGTGACTAATGGCCTAGAGGGACCTTTGCTTGTCCTAACAAGAGGAATATTCTAGATGCAACCACTGCCCAAAAGGTTGCAGCCATTGACACTGCCTCACAGATAAAATGAGATTCTATTTCAAACCAGTCCCCTAATCCCGGGTCCTCCTCAGCCATGATCAGAGTTTCTGGCTTGCCCCGATCATCTTTTGCAGAGGAGGGAAAGGGTGGTGTGCCAGAAAATACATGGTGGCATTTTTTTTTTTTAATGCTGGCGTGTCAGGTAGAATACAGACTTGCACCGTGAAAATGTTATAGGCGGCAACTTGGATCTATGAGATAGAAGACCCCACTCTCTCTCACACACGTTTGGGACAGTTAAAAAAAGAGTCTCTCCCAAATTCAACCTGGTTCCAACCAGGGCCACGTAGCCTCTAGTAACCACCATAATACCTCTGCTACAGACCTTGCATTCTGGACTGCCTAATGCCTTTTGTTAATTGTAGATGAGAAACCATAAAGCCCCCAATGATCATTTCTCAGGGTACAGACAGACTGACGTGTCCCCTAAAGATCCCCAAACTTATCTCAAGCTAACTGCTTAACATGTTTAATAGTGGCCCTTGAGCAGCTCCCTTTATCCACAGGAAGTGGGCTCCGAAGGGAGGTCTCCATCCCAAAGTTCCTCAGGAATGAGAGGCCAAAATGTCTCAGGGAGGGGGCAGTGAGCAGGGTGCAGTAAGAACTTCAGGGCATTTTCTGGAGAGGAAGGAGGCCTCTCAAGAGGGCCTGAGGCAGACACAGCAGCTGCCCTGGGGTTTCTCATTCAGGAATTTGGGGGGGGGGAACTTGAGACTGGCCCTAAGGCCGAGACCCCAGTTCTTCTCTGTGGGACCCTCTCTCTTGACAAAATATGGATGTCCCTTGGCCATTCATGGGGGCAGCTGTTCTCGCAGCCTCCTCTGTGTGCCAGCCTGACCCACCTTCGCTGAGCAGGGCCTGGCTTTTGTCCTCCTAGGAGTAGCTTTGCATCAGGGAGACCCTTTCTGGCCACAAAGCTTCCGTCTGCTGGCCTTTCTCTGCCTCAACTCATAGAGAGTCACACGGTTCATTAGAATTCCCTCAGAAGTCCCCAGAGCCTAGAGGTGAACAGGCCCCGACTTCTGGAAGCCACGTCAGGGACTAGGTATCCCTAGCTGAGGAAAAGAAACTGAAAATGAGTAATATAAAAGCTTGTTACTGATGGGTTACCACACCTGCTTAATTTTGGGTATGAGCCCTGTGCTGAAGTTAGCTGAATTCCAGACCAAGGGTCGTTCCCGAGGCCCAGTGGGGGCAGTGCCGGGGAAATCATGGGGCCACGTGTTTCTCTAGGTAACCTTTCCACCTTTAGCCTGCACAGCCATTGCCTTGTCTGTTACCCTGGGATAGGCGTCACTGGTGATCTTTCAGATCTGTGGGTGGCAGTTGGCTTAGCCACACCCCCTCCAACTGCCATTCTGAGGGGCATTGCAAATCTAAGAGTAAAAAAAAAAAAAATAGTCCGCATGCCCCGGGGGACAGCCCAGGTGAGTCCACAGAACTGACTAGGTCCCGAGAACATCCAGACAATGCTCATTCTTTGGCCCTCAGGTCACCAGTCAGCCTGGGAGCTTAGTTGGGGGGCATCACAGGCTAGAAGCAGAGCTGTGGACCTCACAGGGGCTCGAGGGAGGATCCCCCCCAGTTGGCCCAGCCATCCAGACCACGAAGCAGACTCTGCCAAGCATCTGCACATGGTGTTCAAGCCTCCTGGCGGGGCAGAGTCTCTTCCTGGGACCATCAGATGGGCAAAAGCTTTATACTCCTTAGAGCCCTGGTGGGGCTATTTCCAGCAGCCCTTCTGACTTTTCAAATGGCGCAGAGCCTGACTGCCCCTGGCTTGGCTAATGCCTCTGTCTCTGGACGTGATGGTTCTGGTCGCCACTGCCCCTCAACTGCCTCCAGTGTCAGTTAGGATGGAATCCTCAGGGGTGAGGTTCCCTCCTGACCTCCAGGCAGTGGCTGTTGGGAACTTGTCACAAGTCCCACCCCCGACCCCCACCCTGCCGCCCCGGGGCTTCTGGTTGGATTTCTCAGAACACAATCCCTACTGAGCCTTGGGGGATAGTAACCCAAAGACAGGTCTGTCTTTAGGGAGGCATTCCCCCTTAATTAAGCCCCACAGTTGACCCAAGTGGAGACTAGTCCAGTTTGGTCATCTTAGAGTACCTTTGAAGTCTGTCCCCTGTCCACAGTGGGGGCTTGGGACTTCCTTTAGAAGCTTCAGTGGGAGATGGTGGATGGACTCCTGGGCGCACACTCCCACAACCTGAACTATGAGAAAGACCCTCTCCCTCTTCATCCTTGCCCCTCCCTGTTATGATCAAGTTCTGCACACTTTCCCCATCTTACATTCTCCTCCTGACTCTCCCCAGCCCGGGATCCCCTCTGGATAGCCAGGTGGCATCAGAGAATCTCAATAAACTTCTTCTCAGGAATGGGGTGGTGGGGGTGGTAGAGCTGGTGGGAGCTGGTCACTGTCGCCTGCAATGGCCTCCCTTCCTTCAGGAAGCTGCGGGGAGTCCCAAGACAGCTCCTCTGCTCTCGGCTAAGTTTAGCCCCAGTTCACTTTCCTGACCCTTGGCACAGGCAGAGCCCAGAGTCTTCAGCGAGTTTCCTCATGGCTAGGTGCAAGCAAGCAGTCCCCGAGTCGCACAGCGTCCCTTCTTCTTCTCCTCAGGCTGCCCAAGGTCACCAGGCTCAGGACTTTCAGGAGCTAGCAGAGCCCCGGACCAGCCCCTGCCTCACAGTTTCCATTCCCAAAGCCAGAGGTATGGTTTTACCGAATGTCTTCTGTTTGCCTTTAAAAACAGAAACAAAAAAAAAGGCCCCCAAACAAACAAACAACAAAAACATAGCTTTTTCAAGTTTTTTGTTTTTGTTTTTGTTTTTGTTTTTGTTTTCCTGATAATAATGAAGTATGCTACTTTGCAAAACCCTGCCCTGGGAATTTGAAAAGAGGATTCAGAAAAGAAAACCTGGAATCACAATGTCTTGGAAAAAGTGGATCTTAAATTAGAATTCTGGGACTTCGCCCCTAAGCCAGACAATATCCACTGGTCAGTCAGCATCGGGAGCAGGTTTCCAGAGATGCCCACCCTGTGTCTGTTTAAGATTTGGGAAGAATCCTTAAATAGTGAATTTCCACACACTTCTCATCCCCCCCTCCATAGATTAAATTCCTGTAAGTGGGACTCAGGGAAAAGCAAGCCGCACCCTTGGATAAGGGAGTCTTAGACAGCAAAGGACCTGAACAGCTAGGTAGGTGTAGGTGCAGGTGACTACTAGAGTTCTCAGCGGCTCTTGGTGCTGACTGATCTCTGTGGGATCGTCCAAGCCATGTGCACATGTGGGTAACAGGGTCTTTTCCGTGTGTTTCATCAGCCTGGAGATCATCTCTGAGCTGCCTTTCAGCACGTGGAAGGGTCGTTCTTCATCTATCGACGTCAGCGCTCACTGAGGCCGCCGCAGCGTGCACAGGCTGACCGATGACCTCCTGGTGACCCTCAGAAGTTCACTGCCTCTAGGAGCCCAACAACACCAACCAGAGTAGAAGGACACAGCGGGATAGCTCAGGTGGGAGAGGCCACAGCAGAGGGATGGACAGGTGACAAAATGAAGGCGTGAGAAGCGAGGAGGCAGTCAAGAACAGAACAGTCCAGGTAATAAGACAGGGTCTACGGCCGGGCGGTGGTGGTGCATGCCTTTAATCCCAGCACTCGGGAGGCAGAGTCAGGTGGATCATTGTGAGTTTGAGGCCAGCCTGGACTACTGAGTGAGTTCCAGGAAAGGCGCAAAGCTACACAGAGAAACCCTGTCTCGGGAAAAAAAAAAAAAAGACAGGGTCTACGAAGCTGGTGATGGGTCCCTTGTGCCTCCCTTCAAAGAACGAAAGAGGACTGTGGCTTCATGGAGTCAGGGCTGTGGCTGACCACAAGACAGTTGTCCAGGAACCGTGGCTGAGAGAAGCAGGCTGCAGGAACTGAGCAGATGCTTCAGGGCCTGTGGGGCCGGGGACTTGGGCGGGGACTGAGAGAACGAGGGAGCGAGAACACTGGAGGAGGATCTGAAAAGCTGATGCCCAGGTGCCTTGGGTAGCCCAGCTGGGTGCAAGCTGGCTGGATTAGGTCGAAGAGGAAGGATAGTTTGCACGAGAGAGGCCAGCAAGCAAGGGACAGGAGGGGAAGGGTGGGTAGAACAGTGATATCTCCTCTAGTCCCTGCAATTCTCTTGTACCGACCTTATCTGCCATCTGTAGCCACACTGACCAACCCGCTTTGGACTCAGTGACCCCCACCTTAGGTTGCTGTCCGAGCCTTCCTTTGGTTTCCTTGTCTGGTCTAACCTCCATGCAGACTTCTAGACTCAGTTTCCCTTCACTTCTACCCCAGGCTTGGGGACAGTCACTTGAGAATGACTTTTGCTACTTCCATGAAAAGATTGTAAGGGGGGGGGCAATTTACAAAGGAGAGGTTCAACTTTTCTGAGGCCCCTTTGAGGCCCATGGAGACCTCACCCTTAGCTTGGTGAGCAGGGCTACCAAGAGCACTGGGTGGTGGGAAGAATTCACGAAAGGACAGCCTGAAGGAACTAAGGCCAGCTGTGATCTCCAGGCAGTGGCATGACCACTATGGCTTGAAAACCCAGAGCCAGCTCTAGCTGGGGTGGGCAATAGCTAAATGCAGATGGGAGGGGCCCTAGCCAGGGTCGTGGAGGGCTGAGCACTGGGTTACCAGAGAGGACCTTGAGGACCCAGGTGGACAACAGGCTTTTCAAAACGGTGCAGTGCTAAGGCCACCAACACTGCCTATAGCTGACTCAATCCCCGGCACTGGGCAGGATGAGGCACAAAAATGGCAAATGGGCCAGAGCCTCGTTAGAGGTGCTCCCCTCAGCTAGGCCCATAAAGGTGGGGCCCTCATGTTCTTTCCCACTCATGGCCATGCTTGACCAGGCACTCATAATCACACATTGCTCATCCCACAGTATCTGTTCCTTCCTGGGACAGTGAGCACCACCCACAGTGCCGGGCCTGTTGAGCCTAGGTCTGAAGGCAAACAGAGCTTTCTTTTCAGGAGAGGCAGGTGATCAGAGGTCCCCAGTGCCACAGAGTTAGTGAGAGAGGCCATGTGGAGGCTTGGGACAGAGGGGATAAAGAAGCCTCAGGCAGGCCTGAGCCAGCAGGGTTTGCAAAGGGCTGCAGCTAGGTGGATAGGGCGAGCAGCAGAGTGTCCAGAACAAGGAGCCTCGGGTGTGAGGGGGTAGGCTGTGTATTAATTGCGTGATGACGAATACTTAAAAGGAGGAAAGTTAATTTTGACTCACAGCTTTGGAGGTCTCCATCTACCATGGAGAGAAAGGCATGGCAGAGAGGAACAGCACAGATCCCAGCAGGCCAGGGCACTGGAGAATGCTGGCACTCTGCTCACACTCTCTGTTCCTCCTCCTATTCCATCTGGGACCCCAGCCTGTGGAATGGTGCCATCCAACATTTGGGCCAGGTCTTCTCCTCTCAACTAGCCCTTTCTGGAAGCACCCTCACAGCCATTCCCAGAGGTGTGCTTGGCTGATCTCCTAGGTACTTCTAAATCCATCTAAGTTGACACTGAAGGCAGGGTAAGGGGCATGACATGAAGGTTTCCCGTTAGAGTTGAAAGACAGGGGAAGTAGTGGAGAGCGGATCTCAGGACACTTGTGAGGGTCCCATCAGCAGTGAGGTGAGCTAATTGGGGAAACTGGTTAGCCTGCTACCTTGGGGTCTGGTGTACACCCCAACTTGGCAAGGGTGGGCAGATGGGACATTTGCTCAGGGTTCTGAGGAGACACCCCAAGAATGGAGTGAATCGGTAGCCAACACCTGAGACCAGGGGCTCTGAACTCTGGGCCTCCAGGTGGCCTTGGTGATACAAAGGGTCCCCAGATCCCTGCACCATTTTTAGCAGGTCTGAGGAGAACCTCTGAAGCCTAGGTGTGGGTAGGATGGCTCATCCATGGAGAAGTAGGGGCTGGAGTCAGGTTCAGGAGATGCCAGAAGAAAGGAATATCAGGGTGAGGTGGTAGAGTAGCCCCGGAGGCACCCCAGCCTGTGTTAAGTAGCTGTCTCAGTCACTGTTCTATTGGTGTGAGGAGACACCACGACCAAGACAATTCTTATAAGAAAGCATTTGATTGAGGGCTAGCTTACAGTTTCGGAATCTTCAGAGCAGGAGGCATGGCGCCACCAGGCAGGCGCCGGAGCGGTGCGTGAGAGCTTCATCCTGATCTGTAGACAGACAGAGAGAAAGAGAGGGAGACACTGGGCCTGGTGTGAGCGTTTGAAAACTTAAAGCACACCCCCCCCCCCAGTGACACAGGTCCTCCAGTAAGGCCACTCCTGTTAATCCTTCTCAAACAGGGCCCCTCCCTAATTACTAAGCACTCAGATTTATGAACCTATGGGGGCCATTCTTGTTCAAACCGCCACAGTAGCTGAGCAGGAAAGGCTGGGCCCAGGCCTTCTGGATGTCACACTGCCTACAGGACTAACTGTGGTGTCTCTGGAGTGAATAAGGGGGACCCATGAGAGACTTGAGGTGACTAAGGGAGGGGATGAGAAGGCTTGGGGTGGCTGAGAGTCCCTGTGGCCTTGCTCTGTCTCCAGGTAGGTAAGACACACGGATATCTTGTCCTTGCCAGGTGCTGTCCTCCAAAGAATCACTGAACCTATTTTGGCTATGCTGGACGATGGCTCTGGTCAGTCCCCGCAAAGACCCGCCCCCTCAGTCTACGGGAAGACTAAACGCTCATTGCCCAGGCAGGAGCAAGAGCTGGAGCTTAGTAAGTGGGGGTGCAGAGCAGGTAGGGCTTAGAGGGTGGGCACGCTGCTGAGGGATGCCAAGGCCCCCTAGGAGGAGCAGGGGGACCGAGACTAGGTGCTCGCATGCATACAGTGTATGGGTTGGGGTTCACTCAGACTTCCTGAAGTAGGGCACTGGGCAGACAGGACCTTGGGCAGAGCTCACTCATCTCCATGTCGCCGTCTCCAAGGACAGCTGAAACGGTACCATCCTCAGTATATCCCCAAAGTCAGGTGAGGCAGACTAAGTACCATTGCCACCCAGCTGAGCAGGGACCCCCAAAGCTCCCTGTGTCATCCTTGGGGCTCTGGGGACATGAAGGGTGGCCTGAATTATCCAAAGACTGTTAAGAAACATCTGTGCTTACTAGGGGTCAGTGCCTGGCAGGTAGATAGGCAAAAGTTTTCACTGCATGATCAAATGTGTGCAAGCATGGAAGAATGAATGAATGAATGAATGAATGAATGAATGAATGAATGAATGAATGACTTTCAGTGGATGGTGCAGTTGTCTTGACTACCAGCTCAAGATTGGGTGAGTGATGCCTTCAGATACCAACAGCAGGCTCCTTTCTGCCAGAACTGTACTGGACCAAGGCTGAGGCTCATGTGAGGACCCTGGATAGCGCTTCTGGTACCAGATCCTGTAGGGCACTGTTTGGAAAGATTGAGTGACAAGAACCCTATGATAAGGCAGCCCTTGTGTGTGACTCAGCTGGACTTTATCTGGCTTTGCAGCCATTTAGAACTTTGTCTGTAATCATGGTTGTAAAATCACTGGACAATGTAGATGTTACATACAGCCATCATAAAACCTCTGGGGTTTCCCTGATGGCAAGGAAGGGACCCTTTACACATGTATATGCTAGTTTCCATGGTGATGCCAAAATACCTAGCATAAGCAAAGATGCTTTTTGGCTCACTTGGTGGACAGTGGGCTGCTTCTGTGGCCATGAGCCTAAAAGCATGGTAGAAGGGCTGGACAGGCAAAGCTTTTCACCAGATGGTGACCAGGAAGCAGGGCAACAGGAAGGGGTCAAGAAGACACCCTCCAGGGGCACCCCAAAGACCTACTTGCTCTATCCAGGCCTTACCTCCCAATAACACCATCAACTTATGACCCCATCAGTGGTAAATGAGGCCATTGAGTGGGCCAGAGCTTTCAGACCTTGTTATCTGTGTGGACCAAGACTTTGGCCCATGAGCCTTTGGTGGGGGGGACACATGGAAACCATAATGTGGCTAGAGCCACACCTTCCTGTTTTCTCTGGGAAATTGCTACTGAGGTGTTTTTTCAGAGGGAGACTCCCCAGCTACATGTCTGTAGGACATGCTGTCTTCCTTCACATGTTCTTGTCTTTGTCTCATGAGTAGATGGCAAATTACAGCTCATGGGGCCGCCTTTCCACTCCACTGATAATGAGTTCGGTTCTTTTGGATGTGTTTGTGGCATTGAGAGCCCTGACTGGCTGGCTATGGAGAAGCTTCCTTGTGCCCACATGGTTCCTGCCACCGATGCAGCCAACTCCTTTCCAGCTCTTCTCGGTGTGGTGGATGGCTAGGTCCCAGGAAGTCTGTGCCTGCTCACTTGTGGAAGGTGTCTGCTCTCGGGAGTCCTGCTTAGGCTGATGACAAACCCCATGATGGTCTATGGATGTTTACTTACAGCTTTGGGATTTAGACAAGGGAAGTGCCAGCTGTTTTGCTACCGGAACGAGGCAGGAGCCATGGCAGCATGTTGTGGTCATAGTCCTGGCCTCAGTGTGGTCTCTGTTCCCAAACCAACTGGCTGAACATTGTCTCTACTCTGAGCTGGCCACCTCCTTGATGTGTCTGTGTTGGTGGAGGCAAGTCTGCCTCCATAGTGTGTCCTTTCAGTGTGCCAAGCAGGGAGCTGGCAGGGCAGGTGCTGGGTGGGCCTGGGGTCTCTAGCAGAGTCCTTCTTACCAGCCCAGGAAGGTTATTGGTCCTTAAGTCTTGGGGACCCGTGCTGCCTCTTTGCTTCTGGGATCTCCATAGATAACTTGGATTCAGGGCTCTTGGGAGAGTGCTTGAATGTCCTCCCATCCTGGGAGGACATGGTGGTCAGTAAGATCAAGAACATGATGATCACGGAGCAGAGCCTGGCTCTGGACACCATCTGCCATTTCCTAGAGGAGCACAACCAGGTAGGATCAGAGAGACTCCTCACTGGGTTAGAGATTCGTGGGGCTTGGGAGGAAGTCAAGGCACCCTCCAGGACCTATCCCAAGCCATCACATTGAACTCATCCACTACCCTAGACTCCCACAAGTCTTGGCTACCCATGAAGCTCCTAACCCTCTATTGGAAGGTGCTGGAGGATTTCAGGGAGTTGGCATGGCTGTCTTAGTTCCCACCTACTGGTGGGAAGGCACAGAGTCCACCCAGGGTCTCCTCCTACCAGGGATGGCCAATGCATTCCCAGGCCCATGACTGCTCATGACTTCATGGCAGGGTGCTGCAGGACTGACCTGGAAGTCCCCTATCCTCTAATGCCAGCTTCAAGGCCAGAGATAACACCAGGAGTGGATGAGATCTTGGGATATGTGGGGCTATTCCTTCCTGGTTCCTGACAATACAATTGTACTTTAGCCGGGTGGTGGTGGCACATGTCTTTAATCCCAGCACTCAGGGGGCAGAGGCAGGCAGATCTCTGAGTTCGAGGCCAGTCTGGTCTACAGAGCAAGTTCCAGGAGAGCCAGGGCTACACGGAGAAACCCTGTCTCGAAAAAAACAAAAAAGAAAAAGAAATGTACTTTAATCTTTAGGACCAACCTTCCACAGCTGCTGTCCACTCTCCTGGGCCAATCAAAGTGACACGTTCTTTGAGGGTTGCAGCTGCCTGTGTGCTTATGGAGGGAGGCTACCCAAGCCCTCACAGCTGGGTGTGGGGACTGGGAACCTGAGCTCAGGTGGGGATAGAAACCATCTGGTCAGAACAGGATGGGCAAAGGCCCAGGGGGTCAACATAGAAGCACAAAAAGCAGGGAGCATGCCCAGATGCCCACAGGACTGTGTCTGCTAGGAACGCCAGCCTCTGTCCTAAGGGTCTTGGGGGCACTACGGAAGAGGTGGGCATGGCCAGACTTACTTAGGATTGAGTCTCTGGTTCCTGGAGGGACTTACCCTTTCCCTTTTCCTCACCAATCTGAGAGCAGGCTGCCCTCTACCCACTCAGGGTCCTGGGAGGGTTCCAACTGTCCCCATTGGCTCTAGAATCTGTCTTGCCCTGACTGTTGGGTAGGGATAGGCAGGGCCTGAGTGACATCTGCCCACAGCTCTGGGAAAAGCAGAAGGAGTCCCACAGGGATGCCTCTGTGAAGAAGCTCCTAGAGTTCCTCAGCCTGGACCCCAAGGAAGCTGCTGATAAGGTCAGTGCCCCACGGGCGGCCTGCATGCAGCTGCTTTAGCCCTACAGGATGACAGGGACCTCCCTTGCTTTGTCCCCCACAGCGGGAGGAGAAAGGGCTCCCTCTTGGGGAAGGAGTAGGTCTGAGCACACAGCCCTGCTGTGCTCAGATGGGTCAAGTTCTGAGCAGTATTACCCTGCCCTGCCCCAGGCCATCCTCTTCCACCTCTACGGGCTGATCCTGCGCGAGTGCACCAGCGAGGAGCAGGTTCAGTGCCACTTGGCCAGCCTCCTGGAGCTGTCCCACCAGCACTCCAGCCAGCGGGAGGTGGGTCAGCGCCCCCAGGCTATTGCCTTGTGCCTCCTTACTGGTTCCCAGCCCCCACGCCCCATTCAGCATCACTGTGGTCTTGTGTGGCTCTCACTGCATGGGACACATTGCCAGCTTCCCACCAGCCCAGTACCTGGGAGGTAACCCTGGCGGAAGGACAGCCCCCAGAGAGCCGCCCTGTCACTTGTGGGCTGCCTCACAGGGCCCTCTGGTACACAGGGCATTGCGCTGGCTGTGGGCCTGGCCTCCACCAAGCACTTGCAGGAGGTATGGGCCCTGCTGGAGCACCTGGGCCGCACCAAGTTCCTGCGTTCAGCCGCCGTGTCCCCAGACAGCCAGGTAGGGAGGTCCTGAGTATTGGAGCATGCGGAGTAGGGCAGCACTGGACAGAGAGGGTGCCAGCCTCCGTATGCCCATTGGTGATACCAGGGCTCCTTCCTGGCGCGTTTCCCTTAGGGGCTGGTGTTGGGAACAGAATAGATGAAGTACCTACTCTATGCCCATGCTTCATAGGAGTCCTCCCCCCAAGGACCTCAGGAGTGGAGACAATGGAGCTAAGGATTTTGGGCCAAGAACCCCCCAGGACTTTGAGGGCTGTGCCAGGCTTGGGCCTCAAGTTCTCGCTGGCCCACCCTGAGCCCAGTAGATACACCAAGCAGCTCCATTTTCCAACCCAGTTCTAACCCTAGTAGCTACGCTGGAGAGAATCTACAAGAGAATCTCAACGGAGAAGGCTTGCCTAGGAAACCAGCTTAGAGGGGCTTCCTAGATAGGGGGGCTGGCGGCAGCCCTTGGCCCGGCCCTGTGAAGGAGGGATACTGCTGGCCTCTACCCTCAGTCAGTACAGAGGCTGTTAACTTTCTTGTTGGCAGGAGGGAAGTGTGGGCCGGGAGGGCTGGAAGCCTGGGGCTCTTCAGCCTGGCTCTCACCCGCCCACAGCCATCAGACAACCACCTTCGATGGAAATGGGTCAGCAGCACTTCCCTGCTGTGCTATGGGCAGATAGCCAAACACATCAAGAAGGACATCCTGCCCTGGGTGGACAACATCGCCTCAAGGATGGTGTACTACTACTCCTGTGGCCCCTGTGTGAGGCCCTCCCCACCTCTCCATAGAAGGGCAGGGTGGACAGAGCCACCTGGGTTACCTTGCCAGTCACTGAAGGAGTACCCATCGGACAGCCTCGGGTCTTGGGAACAGAGCTCACTCGGGGTCTGCTTTTTGCGCTCCTGGGTCCAGTGCTCTGGCTACAGGTAGCTGAGATAAGGCTGTGTCAGCCCAAGGTAGTAAGGCTGGCCTAGGGAGAAGGGAACCCGGTACTCAGCTTCCTCTATGGTCAGAGAAATTGTGTGTGTATATGTGAGTAAGGTTGTTGTGTCCTGTGTGTATGAGGTGTGTTGTGTATGTTGTGTGGGTGGGTGGGTGGGGGTGTCTGTATGTGTTGTGTATGTGAGGAAGGCACTATGCTGATCCCCTGATCAAGGTGGCTGCTTGGGTTATATGACAGGATTTTAGGGAAGTGTCCCCTGACTTCACCTTTGGCCCATCTATGGGGGACAGGATGAGATCCTGAAGTCAAGCTTCCTATCTGCGGCCATCCTGCTCACCAGATCGCTCCGGGACGAGCATGGTGCCCAGAGGTACAAGTTCACCCAGATACCAGAGCTTGTCCAGTGCCTCCTGGTAAGTGACACCGGGGTCCACGGTGGGTGCTCCCAAGGACCCGGGTGGCCAGCCAGAGGCTGCCGCCACAGTTGCCCCTCTACCCTCCAGGGCATCCTCCAGAAGGAGCCCAACTTCCTGACCACCTTCTCCCGGCAGAAGGTCATACTGGTCATCGTGGGCCTGAGGTAACTCTCCTAGGGCACGGGAAGGAAGACAGGCAGAGTCCCGAGTTTATGGTGGCAGTCAGTGTGTGAAGGGCTGGGGCCCAAGGGGACACCGGAATACTGGATGTGCTGAGGCCCTGCATGTTCTGCCTAAGAGCTTAAGTTTGCTTTCTTTCATAGCCAAGATAGATTGTTAGTACTGGCAAAAACTAAGCCCTGCCCATAGTCACACACTGAACCACAGTCCTGAGCGTAGACTGGGCCCTAACCCGAGTCATACATGAAGCCTAGCTTTTCACCCTTGGATCCTGATGTAACTCTATGTTCTGACTTGACCTATTCATAGCTTTGATTCTGACCCTGAAAAGTGTCTAGGTTTCCGCCAAGCAAGTGCCAATGATTTAGGACAGCTCACCACAGCCCCTAATGTGCGGGCCCTTCTCGTTCCACTGAGCCAAGACAATGTCTGCTTTCATATCCTAATTGTGCTGGTCTTGTCCTTGCTGGGAGTCCCTTGGGCTGGGCTTGTACCCCAGCCCATCACTTTGTCCTTTTGCAGTAACCTGCGACCCAGACTCACGCCCCTGCTCAAGTCCCAGGTTCTGAAGACTTGCCTGCACAGCGTGTACAAGCTTCCCTCTACCGAGGCCTTAAAGAGTGGCTCCCCTTCATTGGAGCGAGCCCCAGATATCATGGTGATGCCCTAGGCTTGGCATGGCTCCCTCCCAGGGGTGTGGGTTCCCGGTGCTGGGCTAAGGGTTAGCCTTGTTTGGTAATTGGCAGAAAGAGGAGCTCTGACTGGATTTAGATCCACCTTGTCTGGAGCACAGGCTCACTTCAACCTTAGAAAGCTCAGGACCTTTGGGTTTTTCTGCTCAAATGAGACCCTGGTCTCAGTGCTGCTCTGGCAGAATTCTCTGAAGTGAGCCTTCCTGTACCTTATACTCATTGACTTCTAGTGAGCTGACCAATACCCTCCAAGTGCTGGGATGCATCCTGGTCCTTGGCTGTGCAGGCCTACCCTGCTGTCTCAGGCTATCTTGCCCCAGACCCAGTCTCCAGGGGAGTTGAAGCAGGGCCAAGGCTGGCTGTCACTCACATGCCTCTGATCAATCACTCTGGCTGGCACTCAGCACACAGCTAGGCCATGTTCCATTCCAGGACCCAAGTATGTACCAAGGCCATATTCAAAGCAGGCCAGGCCAGCTCTGTCCACAGGAAGTTAAGAGAGGATACGGTGTTGCTGGGAGGGAGCCTGCTCTGGAAAGAAGCCCCCTGACTAGCATGGCTCTGAGGGTGCCTAAGTTCTGCTCAGCAGAAAGAGCAAGGCAAGAAACAAAGCCTCCCAAGTTTTGTTTCCTGGCCCTGAGTCGGGTTAGCCGGAGAGGCCAGGTGGACACGGGGAGCTGAACTGTGGTCTTGCACTAGGCTCCCAGAGCACACATGAGGCATTGCCTTGTGGATGGTTCTAGAGCCATGCTAGGAGAGCCCAGGGAATGGAGGAAGATGATGAGTCCCAAGGGAAGCTTACCCCCATGAGGTCACAAGGGAGGCAGTAGCCATTCCTATGGAGTTCAGCTGGGACCATCTGCCATGGCACCAACGGATTTCTGGCAGCTGGCTGTAGCTTTGATTCATCATCACCTTCATGCTGGCCATTGGGATGAGTTCTTTGTCATGTGCTCAAGTTCAGTGAAATGTTTCTTCAGCTCTCACAACTAACTTAGAAATGGACTACCATGTAGGTTTTTAAAAACTACTTTGTATTTGTGTATGTGTGTGTGTATCTGTCTGTGTCTGTGAGCCTATGTGTGTGTTTGTCTACATATGTGTGTCTATGTGTCTGTGTGTGTGTGCGCACGCGCTATGGCACACATGTGGAGATCAGAAGAGAACTTGTGGAAATTGTTTCTCTCCTTCTGTCATTAGGGATCTACCTCAAGCCTCCAGGTTTGACAACAAGGGCCTTTGTGCCCCTGAGCCATCCTGCTGGCCCAACTATCCAGTTTTAAAGCTCCTCTTACACTTTGGATGTGAGCCTCTAGTCTGTACTTGAAAATCTTTTCTCTGGGTTGTGACTTCTGAAGACAGTTGCTACTGGTTAGAATAATCCTACATTTTTTTTTCTTTTATGGCCTGTGCTGTGGACGTGATGTCTAGGAAGTTTGACCTAGGGCCACAAAAATCGCCTGGTTTTCTGCTGGAAGTTTTGTATTTTTGAGGGTTCAGTTTTGTGTTTTGTGGGGGCAGCCGAAAGGAAGTACCATAGCTGTAAAGAACAGAACACTGCTACCCACAGCTCTGGAGGCTTCAAGCCCAAGGTTTGAATGTCAGACATCCCCCGCGAGCCCATGTGTCTGAATACTTAAGTCTCCAGCTGGTGGTATTGCTTTGGAGTCTGGGCCTAGATGGAGAAAATGGGTCAGTGGGGTGAGTCTGGCCTTGCTTCCAGCCTGAGGGTTCTCTTTGCTTAAGTCACGTGAGAAGGTGCGCTCAAAGCTCCTGCCACCACAGCCCAAGCAGCTAGAGTCGCCATGTCTTCCCACGATGCCTTGACACTGTGATGCACTGTATGGGCTGAGCTCTGGGCCAGAACAAATCTTGAAGTTGCTTATGTTGGCTATTTGGGTACCACAACTAAGTAAACGATGCCGTTGCTCATCAGTGGAAGTGGGGCCTTGGAGAGACAGCGTTCTATGCTGCTGCCTTCAGAGACCTGAGGAACGCCAACCTTCATGACTTTGTACAGAAAATGATTTTAGGACGGTACAGTTTGAAGCAGAGTTGGATTTTACTAGGAAGAGAGTTTAACATACACTTAGCATGGGGTTGAGAGAAACAGAGGCACCCACGGAAAGGATAAGACACACCCAAGTGTGAAGAAGTCAGGCTCAACTATCTTAGCTATGGGCACACAAATGACATTAGTGGCTTTCAAGCTCCATCTCCAAGGGTTACGAAGAACCCTTCCTCCATGTCTTCTTTTTGGGAAATGAGATTCTAAGGTGCTTCCGGAAGTGGGTAGGGCTGCAGTCTGATAGGGTGAGATCATGGGTTTCTAGGGTTACACAAGGGGGCCAAGCTATATTTTTTATTGGAAATGGAGTCTCCTATCGTGCTTCTGAGATTTCTAGAAAAGTTTACATTTGGGAAAGGAGTAAGGCCATCCTTAGATCTGCTCAGCCTTAAGTGTGTTCATTGCTATTTTAACATTCTCATTTGAAATAGCTCCACATAAGAGTATTGCCTCCATGTCAGAAGCTTTCACGGTGGGCAGTGTTAGCTGTGAGGAATTCTTGACTCCTTTCAGTGGCATGCTTGGGCCTTCCAGATGTGTTTGTGTTGATATTTTCTGGTTTTATTTCCATTTTGGAACCATTCTTCCCTTTGAGACAAGATTATCATCTAAAGATTCTTTTCATCCAGAATCATTTCCTTGTCTTTTAACCTTTATCAAAAATATGGGGGAAAAAACCAGGTAGTGATGGCACACACCTTTAATCCCAGCACTCAGGAGGCAGAGGCAGGCAGATCTCTGAGTTCGAAGCCAGCTTGGTCTACAAGTTCCAGGACAGCCAGGGATACACAGAGAAATTCTGTGCCAAAAAAAAAAAAAAACCAGCGAAACAATCAAACCAAACAAGTGTTTCATTTGTATCTGCTAAGTTTTCAATGGCTGAGGCATTAGCCAAAGGTCCTTCTTAGAAAAACAGCAGGTCAACAGGAAAGAGAGCAGAGCAGCAGGCATCATCAGTGGCTGCAGGAGAGGGGCGAGCAGAGCTGGAGGGGACGTGCCTGAGCAGCTAAAGTGATCTGTATGCTCACAGCACAGCTCCTCCATGCAAAGTCTGGAGGCTGGTCTCACTATTCCAGATGCCACCAAATGGCACGGTCAGCCTCATCTGCCAGTGTTGGGCCCAAGCAAGCAGATACCTTTCAGCCCTCATAGAGGAGCTGGGGAGACTGTGAGGTTACCTGCCATGTGACGCCAGCCGGCCCTGTTGCTTGCCAGGTGCTGTACAAGAAGACAATACGTGCCTTGGACCTGCTCCTCCAGAACTTCATCGCTGAGAACCCGAGCATGGATGAGGTCTGCTTCCTCCTGCAGGTGAGGCCTGTGAACCAGGAGATTCCAGCCCCAGCCCCAGCCCCAGCCCCAGCCCGCACTACTAGAGAGATGGTGAGGGTGAGTGAGTGAGTGTGTGTGTGTATGTGTGTGTGTGTGTACACGCACATACACGATACTAGGTAAGGACTGAACCCAGGCCCTTATACACAGACCTTCAACATTCTAGGTACGTGCTCTAACACTGAGCCATACCTGTGACAGGCTTTATTAGAAGTGGAGGGAGACTGGAAGAAATGGGCAGATACGTGTTTCCTGTCTCTATGATGCGGTGCCCCTTAAGACCCTAGGACTGTCACCAAGAAGGCCATCATCATGCTAAGACCTCCAGAGCCATGCACTGCCATAAACTCCTTGTAAAGTAGTCTGTTTTGGGCACTTTATTGTAGTAAGGAAAGGTGGACTAACGTGATTTATAGTGGGTGGACTGAAACATGAGCCACAGTTGGGGCTGATGACTGGCTCCAGAATCAGGAAACTCTTGGCATCTGACATGACTCCCAGGTAGACAGTATTGGAGTTTAGCTGAGTTGAAGGATGCCCCGCTGGGGTCTACTGTAGGATTGTTTGGCTGGTGTCAGAAGGACTTGTGCTGGCTGTGTCAGAATAGGAAAGTTGCTTGCGTCTTCCCTGTCCGTCAGATGGCCCAAACCTGTAAGGTACCCCAGAGCGGAAGGAGTAGATTGATGGACAGGCAAGGAGGCCAATGGTCTGGCTGGGTGGCTGTCACCTTTCTCGGCAGGTGATCTGGAGCTGGGTGTGACGGGGTCTGTGGGCACAGATTCTCATGCTCTGCTCAACTCGTCCCAGCACACAGAGCACTGGCTGAACTCTGACAAGAGCCATGAGCGCTGTCGGGCTGTGCAATCCATCTTCCTGCTTCTACAGTATGTGGTGGACTCTTTGAAGCTTGCTGTGAGTTCCCTACACCCCAAAGCCTCGGGGAGCACCTGATGAGGGGGGATGGAGGTTAACATCCAGGAGTGTGGGGGAGTCTTGCCATAGGTACTCTCTGAGACCTCAGGCTGGGGACTGTGGCTACAATTTAGCAGGATGGCCTGAGGAAATCCCCACGCCAAGACCACAAGCAACAGAGGGCGGAGACCGAAGGAATGGGGAGAGGGAAGGGTCCCTGAGGGAATAGCCTGGGTCTGGATAAGGGAGCTGCTGTGTGGAGAACCCATGCCTCAAACAAATGTGGAAACAGCTAATCTGAGAGCTGGGAATGGAGCAGCTGAGAGGAAGAGCGTCACCCCACTCCTGGGCTCTCACGGTCCAGCTGCTTCACACGGAGGCATCAGCCTTGGATGGGAAGGACTGAGACAAGGCCAAGTTCCTTAGAACAGTGGGTCTCAGCCACCACCCCACACCTCCAGAAAACTGTAGCAGGCTTCACACTGGCCAGGTGTGGTTGCCTTAGCACTCAGCAAAGAGGTGTCGGCGGGGGGTGGGGGGTCGGGGGGGATTGCATGAGGCCAGCATGAGCTGTGTAGTGAAACCCTGTCAGGAAGGAGCCAGGAGAAGAAAAAGGGAGGAGGAGGGAAAAAAACGGTAAGGATGACAAGATGGAAGATGAGAACTTCCTGGTCTCTAGAAGAAGACAGACCCTCCTCATAAAGGAAGGGCAGGCAGATTGCCCGGACAGCATTCTGAAGGCAGTAGCTACAAATAAAACATGGATACAGTGGGGTGCAGCTGTACGTACAGCACTTGCCTAACACCAATCCTAGGTTGGATCCCCACCACATGAAAAGGCTGTGTGATGGTACATGCTGCAATCCCAGAACTCGGGCGGTGGAGGCAGGAAGATCAGAGGTTCAAGGTCATCCTTGGGTACACATTGAGTTTGCAGCTAGCCTGAGCTATGCGAGACCCCATCTAAAAAACAAAATTGATAGAGTGGACCTCATCAAAATGAGGAACTTTCGTGACGGGCAAGAAATGTGTGCAATGTGCGTATCTCACAGAGGACTTGGGTCCAGAAAATGCGATCAGCTATAACTTGGTGAAAAGCTAACCAGCCCTTAAAATGGGCAACGGACGAAAAGAGACATTGCAGAGGCCAGGAAAATGAATGTACCCCCACATAACTGGTCATAAAGGAAATGCAAATAAAACCACGATGAGGTACCGCCACACACCCACTGGAAAAGTAAAATTAAAGGCTGGGAACAGCAAGTTTCGGCCAAGATACGGAGTCCCGGAAATGTCTCACATAGCCGGTGGGAAGGCAGGATGTTAAAACTGTCTGGCAGAACTTCCGGCGGTTTTTTTTGAAAGTTAAACACGTACTTTTGCCCTAACCACACAGGTCTGATCCTAGATATTTACCCAAGAGGAGTGAGCATTTACATATATAAAAAAAGATTTATGCAAGAATATCTATATGGTTTTGTTCATACTGGAGCCAAGCTGGGAGCCCTGCAGATGTCCAGCAATAAGAACAGGCAAGCAACGTGCGGCGACATCCAGCCAGCCATTCACACAGCAACACAAGGGTGGACCGCAAGGACACAGCAGAGGAACAGACCCATGGGAAGAGGGATTGCCTTGGCAGGCAGGACCTGCTGTGAGGCGGTCCAGGAAACATGATGGGAGTGTTCTCACAGGCACACCCGGAATGGGGAGGGCGTGTTGGTGGTGTGTTGGAGTGTGGAAATTAATAGAGATGTTGGGAGGCGAGGCCTGCCAGAGAGAATTATGTTTTTATCTTGAAACTGGACTCTCTCGGGAATGGGTTAGAACTTGAGAGATTGGCTGTCTCCTTTGTCATCCACACACTGTCCTGACATGCACTCCTGCTGGGTGTCACCCAGCACACAGCCATGCAGTTAGAGGCCCTGTCCAGAAGCCACTGCCTGAAGCTAGACTTCCTAGCATCCAGCACTGTGAGCTAAATGAGCTTCTTTATCCATCACCCAGCCTCAGGCACAGCAGCAGAAGGAGGATGCAGACAAGAATCTATTGCAATTTCCAAAACTATTGAGTTTTGCACTTAAGATTTGTAACCTCCCTGTGACTGTAATCTTAAATAAAATTACCATTAAACCAATAACAATTCTGTAGTTTGGTTTTTGCAGTCATTTTGGTTTGAAAGTTTACTCTATGCAGTATTCTAAATATTCTGAAACAATTTCAGAGACTACAAATGACAGAAGGCATGGAGGGTCTGGAAGCAGGGGGTCTCCTGGGAATGGACCAGGACCTCCATCAGAGGGTAACAGAATGTGCCTCTGTACTGGAGTTGGAGCTGTTGAACTCTTAATACTCATGGATGTAGATATGTGCCTACTTCAGCATTCACTAAACTCTGTGTGGTGTGTGTGTAAGGTATGTGTATCAGGGGTGTATGCATGTGAGGTATGCACAATGAGGTATGTTGTAAAGGTGATGTGAGTGTTGTTATATATGTGAAAATGTGTGTGTGAAGAATGTTCTGTGTGAGGAGTGTTGTATGAGTGATGAGTGCTCTGTGTGTGTATGTGTGTGTTCAGTGTTGTGTGTGTGTGAGGAGTGCTCTGTGTGTGTGTCTGTGTGTATATGTGTGTCTGTGTGTGTTTAGTGTTGTGTGTGTTAGGAGGGCTCTGTGTGTGTGTGTGTGTGTGTGTGTGTGTGTGTGTGTGTGTGTGTGTGTGTGTTAGGAGTGTTAGATATCTGGGAGGAGTGTTGTGTGTGTGAAGAATGTTCTGTGTACAGAGTGTTGGATATGTGAGGAGTGTTGTGTGTGTGAGTGAGGAGTGTTGTGTGTGTGACTGAGGAGGGCTGTGTGAGTGAGGAGTGCTGTGTATGAAGTATGACTGTATTGGGACAACTGATGAAGTTTGGATATGGACTGTGGATTAGATGATACTGATGTTGAATTAGATGTCTGTGACTGTGGCTGTTGCACTGTGCGTCTGTCAATAAATGCCCTCATTCTTATGAAATAGACAATGGATTGTCTGAGGTCAAATTCCCATTGTCTCCAGTCAGAAAAAGGGAGATCAGAGGGAACCAAACAGAGCAGAGTGTAACTAATGGAAAACAGTGACTGGAGGACACAGAAATTCTCAACTCTTCTTCCATATGTTTGAAGTGAAATCAAAATTAAAGCTACAACACTGAAATTAAAATGGCCATGAAGGTCCTCACAGAGCAGTTAGAGCTGACCAAGGTTTGAGGTGGGTGAGGGCATCACTGGAAGCTATGTGAGTGTGGCCTTGCAGAGTTGGCTTTGGGAATCCAGGCTGGGCCTGGCAGAGGCAGAGAGGTGACAACCTGTCACCAGCTGAAGTGCCTGCTGAGTCCGCACTGGGATGTGTGCTTCCAGGTGGGCTGGGCTGGCCAGGTGTGTGGTGGCTGCTGCACACTCAGGTCACCATGCCGGTCGGGTGTTGGGATCTGGCAGGGAGCTGAGAGGCTCATCCTGGAGACTCAGAAAAAGCATCCAACATGGGCTTCACAGAGCAGTGGATTCATGGATGATGCAAAAAGCCCTAAGCTGGCAGTGAGTGCACAGGGTGTTCTGGGCTGTCCTCCTCCAAGCCTGGAGCAGAAGCCTCACTTGGAGAGGACAGGAGTATGGCCCACACAGGAAGAAGGAAGCTCTGCAGATCAGGCTGTCTCCACCCCAAGCCCCTGTCCCTCATCCTCACACTCCTCACCAGGCAACTTTCCAACCCCACAGACTCACTGCCAGTGCAGAACGGCTCAGCCTGGGGTGACTTTTGTTTGGAACCAACCTACTTGAGCACAGGAGACTCACCAAATTCAAGCTCTGACCGTGTGACCCTCCAGATCTCAGAGGCCCGACATTCGGAGGATGTGAATGCCCTCTCTATCATCTCCATGAGGATTGCAGGAGGCCTTCGTCACTCCTGCTCTGTCACACACACACACACACACACACATATACATATCGACAGACACACCTGCACACACATGCCCGAATGAAGTGATAGACATACCCAGTCTCTTGTTGTTAAAAACAGAAATGCCTTTTCCCAATGAGAAGACAGGTCAGAGAGGTGAAGTGTTCTCTTGGGTGGGACAGGAGTCTCCCTCACACCCCAGCCAGCGCATCGCCCACAAGATGCCGGAACAGGAATGGAAGCAAGAAGTGGCACAAGAAAGCTAGCCTTGGCTTTGCTCACTGCCCCCCCCACCTCTCCCCAGGAAGAGGCCGTGCCATCCATCCTGGGCCACCAGATAGGCCTCCTGACTCTGCTGTGGCGGGATAAAGATGAGTCCACACAACAACATTCCCACCACTGCGTCTTCCTCCTCATGCAGCTCGTGTTCCAGCAGAAAGGTGAGTGGAGCAGGGTTGGGGAAGGGGAGGCTCAGGGTGGCCTCCCCGTGAGCTGGGACAAGAGCATTGGGGGAGGGGGGCCACCTCCGGGCCCAGCAGCCCGTCTGAACACCACCGTACACAGGGAAGCTGGAGGAGACCTCGCAATGGAGCAAGATGACGCACTTTGAGATCAAGTCTAGAGAGTGGGAGGAAAAACTCTACCACATGGTGAAGGTGAGGTTGCTCAGGCTGGGCCTGGGCCTCCAATGGCCCCAGAGCACAGTGGTTATGCGGGTCGTCCTCTCCACCCCCAGCCCCGGACAGATGGGGCCAAAGGCATCCAGGGACCCGAGCAGGCAAGCAGGTTGGGCAGAACCGAGATGGGAGGGGAAAATTGTCTGTCTCTGTACCTCCTCCCTCCCAGCCTCAGCTTGGATAGGGCCTCTGAACCACGGGCCAGAGGTTCTCACTTGTGTATCCCTCTGGGAACAAGGGCAGCCAGCCTGTCTTGCTCTTCTGGGGACACTGTTCTTAGCACTACCCCTTCATCCTAGGTAAGCTTGAGGGACAGCCCTTCCTTCTGACCTTCCATGACACATCCTTCCTATAGTCTTCTCAGGCTTGGCCTGCCTATTACATCGGATGGAGAAGAAAGGGACAGGGTTTGTGTTCAAGCCCCATGACTGGTTACTTGGCCCTGGGTCGGTCATCCCATCTTCCCGAGCCTCAGTTTTTCTACCTTCCACGTGAGGGTCCAGCTTCTGAGACAGACTGGGTCAGAAGCAGTGGCACCTTCCAGCATCTCGTGTCTCCTGGGCCACGGATTTGGCTGAGTCCTACTGTCCCAGTGGCCCCTCCTAAGAAACAGTGGATGGTAGTTCAGGTCCCACCTTTCAGGGGCAGTGGGAGAGGGAAGTGAGGCAGGGGTTAGGGCCGGGCAGGAGTTAGTCATCGTCCTGACCCAGCAGGGACTGGGGGCTGAGACTCTTTGCAAGACTGTTCGCTACCATTGTCTTAGGGAAAGTCTTGGAGAAGAGGCATCTGGGGGGCTTATGGCAGCCACACTTGCAGCCACCCAGCAACGGCCCTAAGGTGGGGGAACTACCATGGCAGCCTGGGACAGGGGCAGGATGGGCCCTTTGGGACCCTGCAAGCCCGTGTTCATGGCACTTACATGACTGTGCACACAGCCTTCATTCCCTCTCTGGTAAGAGCCTAGATCACAGCCTGGCCTGAGCCACTGCTGGCCAGAGGTCCCCCCACCCCACCCCACCCCCACCCCCTGACCTTTGGCTCTGCCCAGGCCTTCAAGAAGGACTTGACTGTGGCGCAGCACACACAACTGATCCTCACCCTGGTGCACAACCTAGGCAGTGGTAATTACCTCCGAGGTGACCTTGCTGCCCAGCTTCTACTGATGATGTGTGAGGAGCCTGGCTTCAGAAAGGAACAGGTGAGGCTGGGTGGGTGTGGCTCCCTTCAGACTATGTGTACCTGCCCATGTGAGCATGTACCATATACATGCATTCACATGCAATCACAAGAGACAATGAGCGATCAGCCCAGTAGCCTGTGAGCGGGATCCCGATGTATTCCGGGCCAGCTGCCTTTGTCCAGCAGATCCCTGGCCCGCCTTCTGCTGCCTCATATGCAGCTTGCGGGAGAGGGCAGATCTAACTGCCCTCCAGTTCAGCTTGGCCAACTAAATTGAAGATTCAGGCCCCGTCTGCTTGCGTGCCCTTACAGGTTAACCACAGCACTCCTCTTGGCTTATTCGCCCCACCTGCCTTAAGACAGAGATGGAGCCTGGGAGCTGAGCCATAAAGCTAAGTCCTACCAGGAACTCAGAAGGCCTTGCCCTGTCTGAAGCTGCATTCCTCCTTGCAGGTGGCTGAGCTCTTGCAAGGCCTGTTCCAGGAACTGCCAAACATCCACTCCAGGAGTATCCAGCAGACCATAAGTAAGGCCACCATGGCTCTGGGGATCCAGCATACTCAGGAGGTGGTAGAGGTGGTCTTGTCTCTATGTCATCCCTCAGAGAGGTAGGTCTTCCTTTGGCCCAGGCACCCCAAGGTGGTGCCTGGACATCATCCAGGCATGCGGTGGCCCTCCAGCCCAGTCCTTAGTTATTTATTGAACACACCAGGCAGGAAGAGGCACTCAAGGGTTCTGTCTTTTTCCTGACTCTGGACTGTGGCCAGAGGGGCTCTGAAGGTGTTTTGGGGATCAAACAGGGCTCCAGCAGTCCCAGGAGGAGGGTCATCAGCATAGAAACCATCTCAGATTCCCAGTCACCAGAGCCCAGTCTGTAAGCAGAGCCACAGACCGGTCAGAGGCTGTGAAAATGCGCAGTAACACCCCTCCACTCATCCACAGGCTCCCGATGACCCCCGAGCCCCAGTGTGTCTTGATTCTAGCTGCCTCACTAGGTATCACTGGGTCTTCCAAGCGGCAGTCTGTTGGCAATGAAGCCTGACTAATTCAGAACGTGGCTGTGGACGGGCAACAGCAGCATAGCCGCAAGCCTATCAGGAACTCCTAAGCTTGCCAGTCTTTAGGTGGCCAGCCACACTCTGAGCACCTCATGAATATGTGCACACAGCTGGCAGTGTGCGAGGCGGCAGGGACCACAGAGCACACAGCCTTTGACAGGGATCCGAGTCCAACTGGGAACTCATGAGCGCTGCCTGGTGTGGTTCCTGGCCCTGCTGGCTCCCCTCTCCTCTTCAGACCATTTGAGGGGCTTGCCCTGCTTCCCAAGAGAAAAAGGCAGGCTGGAGGGTAGCCATTTGCCTGGGGTCCTAGAGAAAGGGGCTGCAAGGCTGAGGCTTGTGCAGATGTCTAACAAAGCATCACAGAACACGAACCTCAGGGCCCCCTCGCCTGCTGCTCCCTAGGGGCTCACTTTCTTACATCCCCGCTCGTGGCCAGCATTGGTGGGAGGCCTCTCCGCGGTGGTGTTCCCAGTGGTGGCCTAGACCCTGTCTCATCAGGTGGATCCTACTGCTGTGGAAGGCTCTGGCTACCAACTACCATTTGTCCCGTGATGTTATAACCCTGCTCTACATAAAGTTGAAACTGCGGCCACCCAGGAAGCTCCTCCAGTCCAAGTATCAGGCCCATCTGGTCTCCCTGATGGTGAGCGGCACCCTTTGCTTTGCCCCCAGCGTGGTCCCCTCAGTGACAGTAGCAGTACCCAGGGCCTCAGTGGGACCCCACGAGGACACTGTGCTGCCTCCAAGGGCCCCGCCCTCAGGTCTTCGTCATGGTTTGTGGTCATTTGTGAAGGTGGGCGATGCATTTCACCTGCTCATGATGGTTCTCCCACCCTGCGTGCATGGCCCTACTAGGTGTCTGACGGACCGGCCACCTGTATGCAGACCCCTGCTGTTAACAGCACTTGTTTCTCCATGGGCAGAGACCATAACAGAACCAAAAATCCTGTGAGCTCTCAGCAAGTGGTTCCTAGACCCAATGGAAAGTAGGAGAAAGTCTTGGCTGCCCCAGGAAGACTCAGAGACAGAATGACCACACACTGGGCCATGGTTGGCTGTGGGAACAAGAATAATGAAGAGAGATGGAGGCGTGATGAGAGGCCCCTAGAAGGATCTAGGGGAGGCAGAGGGATCCCCGGGCAGAAAACAGGGCAGAGGTGGGAGGTGAGGGTTGCCAGCACTGACTGGGAGCCAAGGCCAGCACCTGGACTTCCCCCAAGCTTTGGAAGGGCCCGACTTAGCAGTGACCCACTCATCTCTGTCCCCCGCTGAAAAGAGACCTTTTGGTTCAGGGAGGACCAAGCGAGGCAGTGGAATAGGACTGACTAGGAGATAGTTTAGGGAGAGAGCCAGGGGACTCTATGGCCAAACACAGCCCAACCCCAAAGAAATAGGGCTGGATGGGGCCAGCCACCAGAAACTCGGGGCCAGGGACAAACAAAACAAAACAAAAAAACCAAAAACAAAAACAACAAAAACAAAAAAACCCAATGGGACCAGGAGAGGCCCTCATCAAGGAGGGTCTGAGAAGGACCTCCCCGCAGGATGGGCACTTGGAGTGATCTGGCTCATGAGAAGGTGGAGCCAAGCCAAGAAAAGCACCATCAGTGGTGTGGAAGCCAAGCATTCTTGGGGCCTGAGCAAAGCCAAGGAGGTCAGGGCCCAGCCCCAGAGACTGCAAGGGTTCCTGGTTCAGCCTCAGGGCTCTCACAAGGCTCTTCAGGGATTTATCCAAGAGGTCTGCATGGTGAGCCACAGGGGGACAGAGGAGGACAGTGAGGCCTGGACTAGAGTGGCTTTGTAGCTGCTGTCCCCACTCTTCTGCTCAGGGGTCCCTCTCCGGGCTTTGCTGTCCCCCACTGCAGGCACTGGGCACCATTTATGAGCTCCTCTACACCCCGGAGTACAGGAACACAGTCCGCTGGGCTTTCGCGGGGATCCTTCTGGGACTCCTCACAGAGCTCTACTACCTGCTGGAGATGGGCCTGGTGCAGGGTATCTTTGACTACCAGGAAGACAACATAGCCTCTAAGCCCCTTGGGCCCTGCAGGTGAGCCACGGTGGCTGCCAGCCCCTCCTTGTGCCCACTGAGCCATGCTGATTCTGGGGGACCCAAGAAGAAAACGGTTTTGGGTGGAGCGGGGTAGAGATGGGACAGAGTACCCAACCTGGTCAACAGGGAGACTCCTGAGCAAGGGGAGCCTAGCGGGTGGCAGCTCACAGGTTTCAGGCACCTGCCTTGTTCCTCCCTGCCCAGAACCTGCCTGGAAGCACTCAAGGGCCTCTTTTGGACCAATCAGTACTGGGAAGTGTTTGCCGACCTCAAGCTGACCCAGGCCTGGGAGCTCTTTGGGAAGATGGAAACTTTCACCAGGGGAGTGACCCTTTTGGCCAGGTGAGCCCTCAGCCTGGGCACCCTCTGCCTGGGGGGAGTCTAGAATGGTTGGCAGCCCAGCCCACCCTCCCTGCTCTGGACGCTGCACTCAAGACTCAGCCGTCTGGCCAGTGATGAAGCCCTCTGGGACCTTGTGTGTGCCTCTTGCGTGTGATAGGGCCATGGCTCACTATAACTGCGAGGTCAAGGCCGTCTTGGGGCAGGCTCTCATCTCCCTGAAGAGCACCGAAGAGAGAGACAACATCGTGGGGATCTGCATCATCACCGAGGTCAGCCTTTCCCCAGCCACCCTGGTGACCTTCCTTCCCTTCCAGGTCTCTGACTCATTTGTCAGGTGCCCTTGCTGTTGGAAGTGCTTCTTTATGTCTAACTCACGATCATGGTGCGGGGTAGATGGATTCCTTGGCAGATGTGGTTTCCAGGTGGGCTGATGGTGCCCACCCCTGCCCAGTTTCTCAACAGCCCAGATGTCTTCCAGTACGTGTCTCGGAAGGTCATAGACAACTCCCTGAGCATGGGCCTTTCCAGCCGCAACCGAACAGTGCGAGCTATGAGCCTGCAGGGGCTGGGCAGCACTCTGATGCACCCTAATAAGGTGAGGGGGCAGGAGCTTGAGAGGGGGTCCTCTGCCATCCCAGAAGGGGCACAGGGAAGACTAGGCACAAAGGAAGTGTCCTTGCAAGGGCTGGTAGATAGAGCCAATCAGGCCTGGTTGGCCCTGCTAAATTGCTTTAGACGGGGCTCTGAACTGGACCCTTTGTCTCCTCCTAGGTAAGAGTCCCTCATATGATAACCTCCTGTCAAGTACCCATCATCCTACCCTTTTGACCCTCCCAGAGCAGGGCTGCTCTGACATAGCCCTCATGACAGGGCTGGGACCTATGCTAGATACATCTTGTGGTTTTCTCTGTTTTACTGTCCAACCTGTAGGGGAGGTAGGGGGTGGATCTGGGAACGTCAGCTTCAGCACTCAGACCTCCTCCTCCTCTGCACTGACTCAGAGATGGGCCGATACCTAACCTTGTGAGAAGGCCAGGAGCCCCCAGTACCTGCCTCACTGGGGCAGCTGGCAGAAACTGGTCAAAGGTCCCACTGGAGGGTGGTGGTCTCGCTGCAGGTAACTCTGCTGAGAAGTAAGTTGATGGAGCTGTTGGACAACTTCCTACAGCCTGAGTTCAAGGACCCTGTGGGCCTGATGGAGATCATGGGCCACCTCCTACACTGTCTGGGTGTCCAGGGCATCGGGACGCTCAGCTTCAAGATTGCTCAGCACCTTCTCAGCCTGTTCACAGATGTGAGCTGGGCAGGGGGTTGGGGATGGGGCAGCAGAACAGGGCAGGGCAGGGCTGCAGATAGCAATCAGAACCAGTACCACTCAGCATCTGCTACCTGCACCATCCCCAGAAGGCACCTGAGAATACAGATTCTGTAGACTGGCATAGTTTAAGTTTGTAATGGCACTGAGTTTTGTTCTCAGGCTACCAGAACCAATGATTTCATTTGAAAGCAACATGAGCTCCTCATACTGTAGAACAGGGCCAAGTGACTTCAGAGGGTTGAGGTTGAGAATGAGGAAGGCTTGAACTTGGCATTGACAGTCCCAGGAAGACCACCATAATACGCCCCTGAGAGGGATTATAAACAGGGAGATGAGAGGTAGGATAAGCCCCAGTTGGGGTAGGTAGGCAGCCAATGGCCGCTGTACATCTGGAATCGAGGAGGAAGCAGTGGAGGCAGTTTGGGGCAGAAGATGACTCTGCCTTTCGTGGACAGGAGGCTGAATCATAATGGGGTTAGTAGAAGGAGCAATGCTGGCATTATCAGGCAGGTCCCTTAGGTGCTGGGTTCTGCATGCACCTCAACCCAAGGACAAAGGCACTGCAGTTAGTCACTGTTTACAAAAGCTGAAAAGGTATAAGGAAGGAACCTCACCCAGGGTCATGAAACTAGAATGTCACAGATTCAATAGTCAGGTCTGCCTAGGAGGAGAGGCATGGTTGTTGTCAGCCCAGGGACATGCAGAGAAACCCAGAAGTGAGAAACCAGGAAGAATGAATGTATCTAGGGAAGGTTGCCGAAGTTTGAAGGGGATCATGAGTGGAGTCGAGGAAATGGAGTAAATGAGAAGGCCACGTGTCTTAGTTAGGGTTTTTTGTTGCTATAAAGAGACACCATAACCACAGCAACTCTTATAAGGAAAACATTTTAATTGTGGGGCTAACTCACAGTGTCAGTGGTTCAGTCCATTACCATCATGGCGGGAAGCATGGTAGCACGCAGGGAGATGTGGTGTTGGAGGATTAGCTGAGAGTCCTACATCTTGCAGGCAATAGGAAGCTGACTGACTGTCACACTGACGGAAGCCTGAACAAAAGAGACCTCAAAGCCTGCCTCCACAGTGACACACTTCCTCCAATAAGGCCACACCTCCTAATAGTGCCACTCCCTTTGGAGGCCATTTTCTTTCAAACCACCACGCCATGGGACAAAAGAAGTCAACGGGAGTCAGGGGCTGAGTGGACACTGGCCTATGAGGTTAGGGACAATATAGGCTGTCCTTGAGCAGGGCCAAAGCGAGGCACCCAGAAGTCATGGGAGAAGGCTGGCCTGTCGCGTGCCTGAGAATTCCATCTCCCCCAGGAAAGAGCAAAGGTGCGGGAATGCGCCATCTTCCTGTTTGGGGATGTCATCCACTATGGTGGCAAGAAGTTTCATCAGAGCCTCAAGATACTGGCTTTCCAGGCTACAGTGCCCCTGCTCTTCCATATGGCTGACCCCTGCCCAGAAGTGGCCATGGTGAGTGTGCTGCAGCTCATCTGGGACAGCTGGGAGAGCGGGGGCCAAAGGAAGGCCCAGGCGGTGGACGCGGAGGCCTCAGACCTCTGAGTGAAGCTAGCGCTGGAGAGCCCACCTGGGCAACAGAGGTGGCTTGGTTTGGGTTTGTAGGCCAACCCAGCAGCTGGAGAAAAGGAGTGGGCTCCATCCTGGTATTTCCTCAGCCACCCGCTTCAGATTCCTCACTCCCATCCACCCATCACTCCAGGCTCTTGTATAGCCTCTTCTGGCTGAAGACCTCCACTCTGCCATCTAAAATAAGCTGCAGGAATCTGCCATTCAGGCTCTTTCTCCCTCTACCTCCCCCTCCCCAGGCAGTGGTGTGACCGTGTGCTATACCGGAACAACTTACTTGTTCCCTGCCTGCCTAGTGCCGTGACCCCCCCCCCCCAGAGGGACCTTGTGCAACTACCCCTGGGGTGACCCTGAAACACTTAGCTATATCATGAAAAGGCCTTGGGTTTTGTAGGCCATCCTCTACCGTTGCTTCTCCATGGAGCTAGCCTCCATCCACTACTCACAGACCAAGCTTGGCTTCTGCTGGCCCTTGGGGACAAGCAGTCCCAGGCTTTTGAGAGTAAGGCCTCATGTTTAACAGACCTGGCCCAGGCCCATATGCACTGTGGGAAGTCAGGTCTCTTCCCAAACTTAGAATAAGTCTCCACCCCTCTGAGGCTGGTACTCCAAGCTGGTTCCTCAGAAGGAGGCCTGGGCAGCCTTTCTGGAAGCTCTGTGTGAATCGGAGCAGAGCACCCTGGGCTTAGGGAGTGGGTCACCCCACCCCGTGGTGATGCATTCCCTTCTAGTGCTCCCGCCGACTGCATGGCCCAGGACCCTAGGAGTCCACAGATGGTACTGCTACAGAAACCTCTCCTCGGGGTCTCTCTGGGATGACGGGGGTGGTGATGGGTGGAAGCAGAGGCAGTCTATTTCTCCACTTTCAGAAGGCCAAGTTCACCTTCCTGCGCTGTGCCATCCTGTTAAAATGGGAGTTCCGGAAGGAGCTGTTCGGCAAGCTGGCGTGGGGCCAAGGGCTGGGCGCTGCGAATGACATTTTTGTCTACATGGTAAGGTGTGGGCCCCTTTCTGGGGGAGGGCTTAGGGCCAGAGAGGTGGTGGCTGTTCAGTCACCCCAGACTGTTCTGAGGGTGGGATGTGGGTTGAGAGAGGCAGCCCTGAGGGTGTTTAAGTATTGAGGCTCTGGGCGGAGCATTTTCCCTTCATAATGGAGCTCGGGTTCTCTGAAGTGGGCTGTCCAGGAAGGCTGGCGGAGTCTCCACCATGTGCCTAGACTGTGCCCAAGGCCACCTTAATGGGGCCTCTGAGGAGGGAGTGCCTCCTCATGTTCCAGTGCAGCTTTAAGGCAGACACAGCTGTGTCTCTGAGTCCAGACATGGCAGGGCCCGGGTGTGGGGAGACCAGTAGCAAATGCCACCCCTTGCCACCTAGCAGCCACTTTAATCTCTGGCCCCAGGCTCTTCTGCCTTACTGGGTCTAGGCTGTCAGGGCCACAATCCCAGCCTCTTGGACAGGTTCAAAGTCACTCGGGCAAGGCAGGTCAGGCCTGTCTTCAGTCTCCAGGCCTCACTGGATCCCGGTTCGGCCAGGCCACTCGGGACAGGCCTAGAACTGTGGCTGCAGAGATCTCAAGGTGGCCTTTGGGCAGCGTGGGGGCACTGAGCTCCAGGCCTGCTTACCCATCCCCTGCAAGTGGCACCACGTGCATCTTGATGGCAGTAACAATAGAAGCATGGCCTTGGCGACACCCAGGACTGCAGCCTCCAGCTGTTTCACCACGGTCCTGACTTTAAGTGTCAGGCGCCACCAGGACCCAAAGTTTAAAGCCCAGCAGGGAGGACAGGGAACCGGGCGCTTAGAAGTGGAGAGGCCACTGAAGGTCACACAGCAGCAGATCCTGTACACGATGCGGGTGTTTGTGTCTGGTCTGCAGTGCAGGATAGCCGCGCCCCAAGGG